GCTTTTAGAAATATTAAATATTAAAGTATGATTTCTTTCTTTTAATTACAACACATTTTTCAAATGCAATTTCTTTCTATTAACTAATTTGCTTACATTAGAGATAACAATATAAAATTTCTATTATAAACTCAATATCCTTAAGTTTCTTTATGTACATGATGATGTGTGTAATTTTTACTTTGGAACTGTTATTTTAAGCCAAAGATTTTTTATTTTTCTAAATTAAATTATTTACATTTTCATACGAGTATAAATTACTTTTCTGTAAAGTATTCTATTAGGAAATTAAGTACTTATTGTTAAGCAACATTTTAAAAGTGGGTTTCTGTAGTTAAAAGTTTGAAACTTTTTTAAAATCAATACATATGTTTGCACATATACACCTTAATTAATAAGCCTGCAACGAAATTATATTTAAATATACTATATTAGTAAGGACTGCGTATGATGAATAACTCATAATACGATTGAATTACATATTACGTATACGCCATGAAAAAAATCATTTAGTAATGTATGTTATGTATTTCTAAAAATATGTATAAAAACAACATGGAATTTTCACAAATATGTTAAAACACAAATAAGGAAAAATTTCTAAATACTAATGATTTTTCCAATTATATTTTCGGTAATTTTTGAGAACTAGAACTGAACTAGAACTGAACTAGAACTGAACTAGAACTGAACTAGAACTGAACTAGAACTGAACTAGAACTGAACTAGAACTGAACTAGAACTGAACTAGAACTCAACTAGAACTGAACTAGAACTGAACTAGAACTGAACTAGAACTGAACTAGAACTGAACTAGAACTGAACTAGAACTGAACTAGAACTGAACTAGAACTGAACTAGAACTGAACTAGAACTGAACTAGAACTGAACTAGAACTGAACTAGAACTGAACTAGAACGAACTACTGAACTAGAACTGAACTAGAACTGAACTAGAACTGAACTAGAACTGAACTAGAACTGAACTAGAACTGAACTAGAACTGAACTAGAACTGAACTAGAACTGAACTAGAACTGAACTAGAACTGAACTAGGAACTGAACTAGAACTGAACTAGAACTGAACTAGAACTGAACTAGAACTGAACTAGAACTGAACTAGAACTGAACTAGACTGAACTAGAACTGAACTAGAACTGAACTAGACTGAACTAGAACTGAACTAGAACTGAACTAGAACTGAACTAGAACTGAACTAGAACTGAACTAGAACTGAACTAGAACTGAACTAGAACTGAACTAGAACTGAACTAGAACTGAACTAGAACTGAACTAGAACTGAACTAGAACTGAACTAGAAACTGAACTAGAACTGAACTAGAACTGAACTAGAACTGAACTAGAACTGAACTAGAACTGAACTAGAACTGAACTAGAACTGAACTAGAACTGAACTAGAACTGAACTAGAACTGAACTAGAACTGAACTAGAACTGAACTAGAACTACTAGAACTGACTAGAACTGAACTAGAACTGAACTAACTGAACTAGAATTGAACTAGAACTGAACTGGAACTGAATTAGAACTGAACTGAACATAAGCAGAAGGCTGCTCTAAAAGTTTTATGCATGAATTTTGTGGCTATTGCTATTGCTTATTAAAAGGTTGCTAAAACCAATTTATATAGAAATTTCCGTCAATTGGCAGTGATTGCGTAGTCTTCCAACTCTATTTAGTATTTTGTTAGTAAAACAAATTTATAGTAGAAAACCAGAAAATTTTTAAGCTGTAGCTGCTTAAATTTTGAACACATTAGTATAAAATTTTAAAGATTTAAACTAGAAAATTGTTTCTAAATCCCCTGATAAACACACTTTAACTATCAAATATTAAACAAATTACACTATATGCTCCTCAAGATATTTTCTTTAATTTTAAAATCTACCGCTCCTCCAAATTTCTTAATTCTTCTCACTTCCAATGTTACTTAACAAATGCTTATATAAATCTATTCCTATTAACTTTAATTTTTATATATACAATTTATTATTTACATTTCAATTTCATTATCATTTCTATTTTACAAATATAAAATATAATTTTCGTGTTAAGTCTTTTAAGACTCTTTGTCTATAATTAAGAGATACTTTTATTCATACATACATATGTATAAGAATTTACAAATTATAAATATAAAAGTACTTACAATAAATATTTTACAGTATAAACTGTCTATTTATATATATTTTTGAATGTATGTGTCAGTGTGTTTGTTTCTCAAGTAATTTAATATTTACTTAATGCAAATACTCATACTTAAAATGTAAGATTTTTATATTTCAATTTTTATTTATTTTTTTGGATTTTTTATTTCATTATAAATATTTACTTACACTTATCGAGTACTTAACAAAGAAAAAACATTTAAATATTAATAACATTTTGTTCTTCCTTTTTTTGTGGTTTTCATATCTTTCGTACTTATTTTAATCAATATGTATAGCTTGTGTGTGTGTTGTTTTAGTTTTGTTTTGGTAAGTGTAAGTATGTATATTAGGGTATATAAAATACTGATGTTCCCAACAAAAAATATTTAGTTTCTTTTAAAATACTATTTCCCAATTCAATATCGGGTGAGCTGGATTATGAATAAAAATTTAATTAAAAACAATTAAAATTTTGATGTAGATTGAATTTCGAATAATGAAAAATTAATAAGATTATGATGTATTCATTTCAATTAAAAACACAAAATAAATCTATTTATGTAAAAAATTAAAAAATTTTAATTTGAAATCATTTCATAATATCGTATAGAAATTTCATAAGATGCCTTTGCGATAACTGTAAAAAAAAATTAAAAAAAAACCTTAAAAAGAATATTTATACCCAAAACCATTTTAGTGGGCAGGGTATATTGGGTTTGTGCTGATGTTTGTAACGCACAATAATATTGGTCCCATACCCACCTTAAAGTATACCAATAGACTTAGAATCATTTTCTGAGTCGATTTAGCTATGTCCGTCCCTCTGTCCGTCCATGTAAACCTTGTAACCAAACTACAGCAATTTTGAAGATAATTCAATGAAATTTGGTACATGATCTTCTATTGTCTCAGGAACGAAGACCATTGAGAATGTTTAAAATTGGTCCATTATTTCACCTAGCCCCCATACATACTGAACCCCCGAATGGGGTTTGTAAACCTTGTAATCAAACTACAGGTTGCAATTTTGGAGATCATTTAATGAAATTTGGTACATGATTTTCTATGGTTAACAAAATGGTTAACATCGGTTCATTATTTCACCTAGCCCCCATACAACTGAACCCGCCGAATAGGACTTTTAAGTTCATAATTATGTTTAATATACTCCTATCTCGACAAAAAGCTGTAAAACCAAGTTCTATAATAGCCTTAATTACCCTCATGAATTTTAAAATTATAGGACCTCATTTGACCCTAGCCCCTATAAAAAGTCACCTTCAAAATTTGACTTAGTCCACATTTTATTCAACAATAAAAGGCTTAAGTATATTTGAGGCAAGGTACAATTCAGATTAAATGCTTTATTATGACAACTAAATCACATTTTATTTTTGTAACAGGTGTAGGGTATTATATGGTCGGCCTCGTCCGACTATATTTTCTTACTTGTTTTATCATTCAACTCGATTCTCTATAAACTAACCTCGAAAGAAGAAGAACTTCGTTTTCAGTGGGAACATCAGAACTACGTTTTTTCTCCGTACAAACGGAGCCACCCTAATGTACATATACTTATGTATGAATATTTGTTTAATGTATGTATGTGGTTCAAACGAGTGCAGTTAGAAAAGTTTTATAAAAGCGTTTATATGAACTACAAATTGACTAGAACTGAACTTCAACTGACCCAAAACTAAACTAGAACTGAACTAAAATTGAATTAGAATTAAACAAGAACTGAACTAGAACTGATCTAGAACTGAACTAGAACTGAACTAGAACTGAACTAGAACTGAACTAGAACTGAACTAGAACTGAACTAGAACTGAACTAGAACTGAACTAGAACTGAACTAGAACTGAACTAGAACTGAACTAGAACTGAACTAGAACTGAACTAGAACTGAACTGGAACTGAACTAGAACAGAACTAGAACTAAACTAGAATTGAACTAGAACTGAACCAGAACTGAACTGGAACTGAACTGGAACAGAACTAGAACTAAACTATAATTGAACTAGAACTGAACCAGAGCTGAACTAGAACTGAACTAGAACTGAACTAGAAATGATCTAGAACTGAACTAGAACTGAACTAGAACTGAACTACAACTGAACTAGAACTGAACTAGAACTGAACTAGAACTGAACTAGAACTGAAATAGAACTGAACTACAATTGAACTAAAACTGAACTAGAACTGAACTACAATTGAACTAGAACTGAACTAGAACTGAAGTAGAACTGAACTAGAACTGAACTACAATTGAACTAGAACTGAACTAGAACTGAACTAGAACTGAACTAGAACTGAACTAGAACTGAACTAGAACTGAACTAGAACTGAACTAGAACTGAACTAGAACTGAACTAGAACTGAACTAGAACTGAACTAGAACTGAACTAGAACTGAACTAGAACTGAACTAGAACTGAACTAGAACTGAACTAGAATTGAACTAGAACTGAATTAGAACTGAACTAGAACTGAACTAGAACTGAACTAGAACTGAACTAGAACTGAACTAGAACTGAACTAGAACTGAACTAGAACTGAACTAGAACTGAACTAGAACTGAACTAGAACTGATCTAGAACTGAACTAGAACTGAACTAGAACTGAACTAGAACTGAACTAGAACTGAACTAGAACTGAACTAGAACTGAACTAGAACTGAACTAGAACTGAACTAGAACTGAACTAGAACTGAACTAGAACTGAACTAGAACTGAACTAGAACTGAACTAGAACTGAACTAGAACTGAACTAGAACTGAACTAGAAATGAACTAGAACTGAACTAGAACTAAACAAGAACTGAACTAGAACATGATTGAATTTCATCTCAAATCTAAGTTTAAATCTCTAAAATACTTTTCATCCCTTCCTCGTCTGTTTGTGTACGCTTTGTTTTTTGCCTGTTATTAAAAAATACATTTAAAAACTTAATATTAATTTTATATACAAATTGGAATTTTATTTTGTTTTTTATTTACTTGTTAATTCTGTCTTATCTGTTTTACGGTTGTGGTATTGGAAGGTAGGGGGACTTTTTGTTTCCTCTCCGCCATTTTCTTATTTACTTATTTAAATTTTTGTGGTTGTAGGTGTGTTGGTTTTAGGTTGTTTTTTTTCATCATATTAAATATTTTTGTTTTTCTGTTTAAATTGTTAATAATTTATTTGTTTTTGTTGTTTTATTTAAAATGTGTTAGTATATCTTTTAATGGTTATGTATTTGGCAATTGTAGATTTGTTGGAGATCTATGTTGCCACCACAATAACAAACAACTATGTTGGGATTTAATATCAAAGTAATAATGTCGTTGTTGTTGCTGCCGATAATGCTGATGATGATGTGACAGTAACCGTGTTAGATGTCCCTGTTGCTGCAGCTGGTGTTGTTGTCTATGCTTTAGTGTTGGCCCTGACTGTTGTTGCTGTTTATTTCGCAATTTAATGGTCCCCTTGCGCCAACGTATACATTGACGTAGATTACTTTGTAGCTGTTGTTTTTGTAGCCATAATAATACGAAGGCCCAAAGTATTATTACAGTATATGGTGAGGCATGCAGATGTGTGGTGCCACCATGATGCATAGCCGCAGGATGTTCACCTTAAATGAAAATGTTTTTGTACGATATAAATAAATGTTTATCTGTTGTAAATTATGTTTAAATATTATATAATTTATGTATTTGAGGGGAACTTTAATTGTAAATAATTTAAAATATAGATGAATAGAAAGGCAACTGCTTTTGCTGGATTATTTATCCGGTTAGGCTTGAAACACTCTATTAAAATACATTAGACGAGCAAATAAAAAAAAAAATCTTTAAATATTAGAGGATTTAGCAGAACTAGAAAAGAACTATACAGAACTTGAAAATAACTAGAACAGAGATAGAACAGAACTAGAACTAGAACAGAACTAGAACAGAACTAGAACAGAACTAGAACAGAACTAGAACAGTACTAGTACAGAACTAGAACAGAACTAGAACAGAACTAGAACAGAACTAGAACAGAACTAGAACAGAACTAGAACAGAACTAGAACAGAACTAGAACAGAACTAGAACAGAACTAGAACAGAACTAGAACAGAACTAGAACAGAACTAGAACAGAACAGAACTAGAACAGAACTAGAACAGCACTAGAACAGAACTAGAACAGAACTAGAACAGAACAAGAACAGAACTAGAACAGAACTAGAACAGAACTAGAACAGAACAAGAACAGAACTAGAACAGAACTAGAACAGAACTAGAACAGAACTAGAACAGAACTAGACAGAACTAGAACAGAACTAGAACAGAACTAGAACAGAACTAGAACAGAACTGGAACAGAACTGAACAGAACTAGAACAGAACTAGAACAGAACTAGAACAGAACTAGAACAGAACTAGAACAGAACTAGAACAGAACTAGAACAGAACTAGAACAGAACTAGAACGAACTAGAACAGAACTAGAACAGAACTAGAACAGAACTAGAACAGAACTAGAACAGAACTAGAACAGAACTAGAACAGAACTAGAACAGAACTAGAACAGAACTAGAACAGAACTAGAACAGAACTAGAACAGAACTAGAACAGAACTAGAACAGAACTAGAACAGAACTAGAACAGAACTAGAACAGAACTAGAACAGAACTAGAACAGAACTAGAACAGAACTAGAACAGAACTAGAACAGAACTAGAACAGAACTAGAACAGAACTAGAACAGAACTAGAACAGAACTAGAACAGAACTAGAACAGAACTAGAACAGAACTAGAACAGAACTAGAACAACTAGAACAGAACTAGAACAGAACTAGAACAGAACTAGAACAGAACTAGAACAGAACTAGAACAGAACTAGAACAGAACTAGAACAGAACTAGAACAGAACTAGAACAGAACTAGAACAGAACTAGAACAGAACTAGAACAGAACTAGAACAGACTAGAACAGAACTAGAACAGAACTAGAACAGAACAGAACTAGAACAGAACTAGAACAGAACTAGAACAGAACTAGAACAGAACTAGAACAGAACTAGAACAGAACTAGAACAGAACTAGAACAGAACTAGAACAGAACTATAGAAGAACGAAAACAGAACAGAACAGAACAGAACAGAACGACAGAACTAGAACTAGAACTAGAACAGAACTAGAACAGAACTAGAATAGAACTAGAACAGAACGAACAGAACTAGAACAGAACTAGAACAGAACTAGAACAGAACTAGAACAGAACTAGAACAGAACTAGAACAGAACTAGAACAGAACTAGAACAGAACTAGAACAGAACTAGAACAGAACTAGAACAGAACTAGAACAGAACTCGAACAGAACTCGAACAGAACTAGAACAGAACTAGAAAAGAACTAGAACAGAACTAGAACAGAACTAGAACAGAACTCGAACAGAACTAGAACAGAACTAGAACAGAACTAGAAAAGAACTAGAACAGAACTAGAACAGAACTAGAACAGAACTAGAACAGAACTAGTTAATATTTAGTTAATTATTTTGTGCAATCGTATATTATTCATATTTTTATACCCTACACCACTTTAGTGGGGAGGGTATATTGGATTTGTGCTGATGTTTGTAACATACAAAAATATTCGTCCTAGACCCACCTTAAAGTATACCAATCGGCTTAGAATCGTTTTCTGATTCGATTAAGCTATGTCCGTCCGTCCGTCTGGCTGGCTGGCTGGCTGTCCATGTAAACCTTGTGCGCAAGGTACAGGTCGCAATTTTCAAGGATGAAGCCTATTGAAAATGGTTAAAATCGGTCCATTATTTCACCTAGCCCCCATAGAACAGAACCCCCCGAAAAGGGCTTCTGAGCTCATAATTATGTTAAATATACAGATATATCGATAAAATACGGCACAACTAAGTTTTATAGAAGTCTTGATGACCCTGCAAAATTTCATAAAGATCGAGCCCCATTTGACCCTAGATCCCATACAAAGTCCCCTTCAGAAAATTACTTGAATGTCCCAAATTAACTTATAAACACAAATATCGCGATGAAATTCAGCACAATAAAATATTATGTAAATATAAATATATTCACAAAATGTTATCAGGCTTGGTCCATATTTGCCCCTAGCCCCCATATAAAGCCTCTTTCAGAAAATTAGTTTTTCATCCATATATTGCTTAAATGTATCGGAACAAGGGAATATTGAAGATAAATGCTTTATTATGAAAAATAAATCACATTTAATATTCATAATTGGTGTAGGGTATCATATGGTCGGCCACGCCCGACTATACTTCCTTACTTGTTTATTAATGAAATTCAACCCGTTTTCTTTATTGTGTACTAACATTATCTGCTAAAATCAATAAAAACTTTAATTATAATCTTTGCCTTCCAACAAATTGCGAAATAACTTTTTCCTTAAGCCATCTCGCGTATCTATCGAATTGTTATATGTATTTTCTACGCAAACAAAAAACAATAGCATATAGAGAAAAAAGCAAATTAAATACAACAAAATGTTAGAGGCTAAGCCGAATCTTATATACCCACCCTCAAAGCATATCCTGCAAATTTCAAATAAATTTAAAGTCAATTAGAGATCATTACAGAGCCTATTCCAATATTGTTAATATGGACATGGATTAATTATGGACCTGGTTTTTCAGAATTTTAAAGGGGTATTCATTTTTAAAAACAATTAATTTTTTTCCACTTTCAACATAATAGCTAGCGTTTGCAACAACTTATTAGTAATAAATAGTTTTTTATAGGAGAGTTTATAAGTTGATTGGTTCAGTTATGGATCGATCATATGTTAGAGATATTAGTCTTAGAATCTAATAAGGATAAATATTTTTACATATGTATGTATATTCATGCCTCTAGATGAGTTCGATGAGTTACAAACGGAACGAAAAAATCAATATATCTACTATGTTTTTTTATGGTAAGTAAAGAAGCACACACTAGTACAAGTAGCGAGTGAGAAGAATACGTAAAAGCCAAACAAAAAACTGAGAAAAAAAAACAAGTAACTTGTCTTAATTACGAAAGTTTAAGTGATTTTCTTTCGTATTTTGTTCATGTTCTTTAGTACTTTGAGCGAAAACTTATTAAGTTGTTTGTTATTTTTACGTTGAAAATAGTTGTTATAATTGCTTTGTAAGCTTAAGGTATGTATGTATATTTCTATAAGACTCTTTTATTTGTGAGTGTTTGTATGTAACTATAGCTGTAAAAAGTATTTAACTGTCTGCATGTAGTTTGCTGATGTTATGCGTGTCTTATATTAGTTTCATCATGGATGTTCTAATTTCCTTCTTTTTTATAATTGTTGTTTGGAATCCTTGTACAGATATTGCGTTAATTTCAATATACAAGTTTGTAGGTTATAAAAAGATTTTTTTTATTTTTGCTGTTTAAGTCAAAAAAGTTATTCAATTTAGTTTTTTTGTTCTTTAAGTTTATAGGTTTTTTTATAGCATTTATTGATTGACAGTATAATTTTAAAGATGAGAGAACAAATAATTATTAAAGTTTCTTGTAGGCTTTTTGTTATTCTGCATTGATTATGCTAAAGACAATATAAAAGTTAATGGATTTTTTTCGGTATACATAACATTAGGGCATTTAATTAGTTTTGGAGGCATGCAAGCAAAAAATAATAATTACTTAAATACTGTAAGTAAAAAACACTATTGTCATTACAATATGATGTGCTTAACTTAAAGTTTAATCAAGAAAACTTTAACTTATTATCTAATATTAATAGAACTAGAACTGAACTAGAACTGAACTAGAACTGAACTAGAACTGAACTAGAACTGAACTAGAACTGAACTAGAACTGAACTAGAACTGAACTAGAACTGAACTAGATCTGAACTAGAACTGAACTAGAACTGAACTAGAACTGAACTAGAACTGAACTAGAACTGAACTAGAACTGAACTAGAACTGAACTAGAACTGAACTAGAACTGAACTAGAACTGAACTAGAACAGAACTAGAACAGAACTAGAACTGAACTAGAACTGAACTAGAACTGAACTAGAACTGAACTAGAACTGAACTAGAACTGAACTAGAACTGAACTAGAACTGAACTAGAACTGAATTAGAACTGAACTAGAACTGAACTAGAACTGAACTAGAACTGAACTAGAACTGAACTAGAACTGAACTAGAACTGAACTAGAACTGAACTAGAACTGAACTAGAACTGAACTGAACTAGAACTGAACTAGAACTGAACTAGAACTGAACTAGAACTGAACTAGAACTGAACTAGAACTGAACTAGAACTGAACTAGAACTGAACTAGAACTGAACTAGAACTGAACTAGAACTGAACTAGAACTGAACTAAAACTGAACTAGAACTGAACTAGAACTGAACTAGAACTGAACTAGAACTGAACTAGAGCTGAACTAGAGCTGAACTAGAGCTGAACTTGAGCTGAACTAGAACTGAACTAGAACTGAACTAGAACTGAACTAGAACTGAACTAGAACTGAACTAGAACTGAACTAGAACTGAACTAGAACTGAACTAGAACTGAACTAGAACTGAACTAGAACTGAACTAGAACTGAACTAGAACTGAACTAGAACTGAACTAG